TTTTATTTAAAAGCCTGGAATATCCCTTTTGCTGTCCCCTCAAGGACGATTTGATTTATCTTTTAATTACAACCTGAAATGGGAAATTTCAATGCAATCCACCAGCTTAGAGGTCTTGTGTTAGTATCCATTATTTATCTGCAAAGGAATTATCTCCTCATGGTCACTATGAACAAATATAGCAATATCAGATTTTATCTCCTGTAGGAGCTCAACAATTTTGTATGACTAATGGCCTTGCTCATCCATTAGTGTTTTTTTTTAATTTTATTCTTAATTTCTATCATTACTTTACCTTCTGTCCTTGGGAATAGACGAATAGTTTATTTTTCTTCAACTATGTGTTTTGATTTCTTTGCTATTCTAACCTGTAATGGTAAGGTGGCAAGAAAAGTTATAGAATTACAGTCAAACCTGTCTACAGCGACCGCCCAAGGGAAACACAAAAAGTGGTCTTTGTAGACAGGTTCCGTTAGTACATGTTTCGATAAGAAACCATTTTCAAGGGAAACAAAAAATGTGCTTGTTGTAGACAGGTGGTCTTTGTAGACAGGTGGTCACTAAAGAAAGGTTTGACTGTAGTTGGGTGATGGAGAGACAAAAACAGAAGATGGTCGGAAGAGAGGAGAGGGCAGAGTACAGTATCTGAGCACCCTAATGTGATGTGAGTACGTTTATTGCAGGTTGTCGTGATTTTTCATCTCTAGGCTTTCAACATGAGAGGGGGGGGGGGGGGAGCAGGTACACTGGCAGCGACTGGCTCTATCCTACACCGAGTGTACGCCATTGACTCCATAAACATGTACATGTATACCAGCAGGATTATCCCTCTTGAAAAGAGAAACATAAATCTCATAAGTCATACAACTGTAATAATATTTTATTTACCCAGGGTAGCCACTTCAGTTATGAAACTGCTCTTCCAGCGGGCCCTGCATAACATAATATGTTATTACTACCCTTCTCCAATCTAATATGCTGAGCGCCTAGCTAGAAGGCAGAAGGTCCCATTGTTCTAAGTCTTTGGTATGACTCGGCCGGGGTTCAAACCCACGACCTCCCGTTCATGAGGCGGGCGGTTGGACAAAGGTTGGGGGGGGGGGCAGCTATCAATCTCATAAACCACACAAATCTCACGAGAATGGGGAGGGGGAAGGGGCGTAAACTGGCATTACCCTATGCCTCGATATACCAATGCCTTGATCTATGTATAGCAGCTTAGCACCCCTCTCAAATAGACACATAATAATTCATCCTATAATGAAGAAGGCACTTAACTCTGATGAGGGAGGGGGAGGGGGAGGGGAACCCTGCCTTCATTCACTACTGGATAAGCCACTACCTCCATATAAAGTAGCAGATGCAAGAAAATAAATCAATCCCTCAAGCCACATGATTCTGACAAGACTGATCTAGGTGGGATGATCAGAAAGCCAATCATGCCAATGTACTATGGCGATGTAATTAGATGCATCCAAATAAACTGAGAGCGCTCATGCATTGTACAATATTAGAAGAGAGCTAGAGAGATATCTGCTGATGTGCATTTTTTATTTTCCTACAAGCTCTTTGTGTTCCCTACTGGCTAGGAGGGGAAAATGTAATTGTTTTATTGAAAAGAAATAGTAAAACAAGAGGCAGGGGGTGAAAATGAAATTACTGAACAAGAAATCATGCTGAAGAAAAAAATGAGAGAAAAAGATCAAGAGAAAAAGAAAAAGAAACATATCATTTAGTAAATAATCTCTATTCAAATTTATTATCATTCCTCAATACCAGGCTACTTTCTTCCTTTTTGGAAGCTACACTATACTTAAGTTAAGATGACAGAAGTAACAATTACAAAAGAGGACAAGCAAACTGAACTAGACTACTACTAGTATTTCCGAACACTGAAGCCACCAAACTGAAATACAATTGATTAACCTAAACAACATCGCAGTGATCTGTTTCACTTATGATAAGTTGACAAGAGAACTACAAAGTAGTGCTGTAACATCACGGATATCTCCAATTCCGTTTAACCGCCAGTCAAAACCGGACGGTTTTCGGTTAAACGATTTTAAAAAAAAAATTAAAAAAAAAAAAAAAATCTTTTTTTTTAGTTGTTTTTTTGACCGACTGTGAAAAAAACCCACGCGGGAAGAATATTCATTTAAAAGAACATTTAGAAGAATGTGTAAGATCATTAACGTAAATTAAAAACATTAGAGGACCTAGGATAGAACCTTGTGGTACGCCGTGTGTAAAAGTTGGATGAATTATTATTATAAACTACATATTGAGATCTATTACAAAGATTACTTTCAAACCAAGATGACAGACAAATTGGAGTGTTGTTCTAGTTTCGGAGTGGTGAGTCAACGCACAGATTACTGAGCTGGTAGACATTGCCAGGCATAGTACCAGGTGGAGGGGCATATATAAATCAAAACTTAAAAAAAAAAAAATTATTAAAAAAAAAAAAAAATTAAAAAATTAAAATTTTTTTTAAAAAAACGGGAAAACGAAACCGTCCAATTGAAAACGGAATCCGCCATGGGCGGTCGGATACCGGACGGTTAAATGTTTGACTACAGCACTACTACAAAGATCTGTTTGTTCACAGATCATTCCATGATAATGGGATATCTTTCACAAGATACTTTTCGCTTCATGATATTCAATCTTGACTTGTCCTTTTTTCATCCTCAGACTCTGCTTATTGTCACTTCTTCTTCCTGTATGATTATGATTATCATTATCATATCTTTAATACAGGATATTGCAGGATGCATTCTATAATAATTCTCTTAACTTCAGAAGATCATGGAAGAACTTATGATGCATATATATATATATATATATATATATATATATATATATATATCATCAATCATGGGTGGGAAATATTCTTCATCTATTGAATACACAGAACAAATAAAGGTCATTAACCCAATAAGGCCGGGGGGGGGGCATTATGGTCATTATGGCCCCCCCATCCACAATTTTTCTGATTGTTCGGGAACGCATATGGATGGCGCCCCGCCGCTCGCTGACTTTTTTCTTTCGAGTCTTGCGCAACTTTTAAAAGAATTTTTTTGAAAATCGGAACTACGGTTACAAGGTCACGTGACCTTTTGTCATTGCATGTCAGCCTGAAAATCGCTCATTTTCGTGATTTGTGTACAAAACATATGGAAAAGTCATTTTTCCTAAAAACAGATCAAACATGGGTTATTGGGTCTTGTTTAAAGTTTAGGTGGTTGTTTTGGGAGTCAATATAGTTGAATTGTAGTAAGAAATGAAATAAAACAACAAAAACAATGAAATACATAAGTTAAAAAAACAATGAAATACATAAGAAATTATCAAAACAAGGGATAACATAAGAAATAAGCTAGCTCTTCCAATTTTTTTTGTCATATTATTATTCAGAATGGTCTAATGAATATATGTAGTGAAAAAGAATGCTTAAATATGAATAATATATGATTAATGGGTAAAAATGTGATTTTTATGACTTTATTTGCATAAATTACCATAAATATGCAAATGAGTAAATTTTTCAAAAAATTGAAATTATCATATTATTCTATACACTTCACTTGACATGCGTGCAAATTTTCGCGGCGATCGGCCGCTTTGCAGCCGAGATCTTAAGGGGGGCCATAATAGCCCCCCCCCCCCCCCCCCCCCGGCCATACTAAGACCTCAAATAGCCCGGCCTTATTAGGGTTAAACCTTCGACAGTTGAACTTGGGAGAAAGGACACGAGGGTACACCATGTAATACATACATGTACACTAAAAGAAGACAAGATGGAGACATACATACAGGTACCAGCAATAGATCTTGGGTCAGGATATAAATTCACTTTCCAAGAAATATAAACATCATTATCCCTTTTTCTTCTTTACCTGCCATTAAACTAATTCAAGGGCATGTGTAAAAAGACAGAAGGAAAGGTATTGGAAAGGTTTCACTGGTGAACTCAACATTTACTTGTTTCAGTTAAGTCACTGCCAGTTTTGCTTCATACATGGTCTGAAAGTGAATGTGTGCAGACAAAGACTGAATTGTATCTGGGATGTGAACAAAGTTGCCTTTCTTGTATTAATGTCACCTAAGCTGGTCTAATACAGTACCGGGTGCCAGCCTGTCGGAACATATACATATAAATAAGCATATCCAACTTCGATTGCTTCATATTTATCAAATTTGTAACGACCTGAGGGGAAAGAGTAAAGTGTCCTTTTCCCAAAATACCTTATACCTTTCTTTTTCTATCACAGATGAATCAACAAAAGGAATAAAAAGAAAAAAAAGTTGTCAAGATTTCTTTCGCGCCTGACATCTATAAATTATTGAGGCTCTGTGCCACATTCTTACCATTATAACAATACAAAAGATCTATTTCTGGTACATTCTGGTAGAATGTCAAATTGTGGACTGAACCGGATAGCCCATATGGCATTGCCATTGGTTGCATAGCAATCCAGTTTTGTCTGGCTAAAATGAGACAATGTACTGCTTATGGTCTCAAGAGGGCAGTATTCCACTTTTGGTATCACTTGGCAGTGGGCTCTTTTACTAGCCTACACTGCTCTAAAATCTAGCTGCGCTGTGCCTATCCACAATTGTGATTCTTTCGTCTTTCAATTCCATAATCTCTTGGTACAATCTGACACGCCTTGAAAAAACTTGAGAAAACAGTAACATCACCTACTAGACAAAATTGTTCAATCAATGTAAACACTAAACAAAGAAATTAATTTGTGACTCTATGTAAATCTTTAAATGGGGACTAAAAATAATAATAACAATAAGAATGATAATAACAATAATAGTAATAATAATAATCATCATAATCATCATTTTTACATCAGTGGAAGACATACAATCCTCCTCCAAGGTGATGTACATGTTTCCACATGGAACTCCAGACATACAGACCAAAATGGTCCATTTTTCAATTACAATAACATACAAGCACTTGTATCATCTGGGTGCATACTTACAAATTTCATTGGTGAAAATATGTTTAGAGTCTTGTTATCTTTGCAGTTTTAATGCTCGTAGTTGAATCTCTAATTCTTTACGTTGCTTCTGCTCTTCTTTCAGCGAGTCTGTAATAACAGAAATCACAGAAATCAGAAGCACAACATTAACGGTTCTATCATGATATTACATTTATTTTGTTAGATCTATATAAAAAGACTTAAATAGATTACAACATCCTTAAGAAATTTTTGTTTGTGGCCAAATGAAATCTTCACATAAGCCAAGATAGATACAATCTGCACATGGGCAGATAAAGTTCATTTGTACCAAATTGGTAAAACCCACTGAAACTATGGACATGTGCTCATGCAAGTTATGTATTATTAGTCATTAAATGCACTGATGGTACATTCTATGGATCTTTCTAAGTCCCAGCATTACTGATCACAATACATACCCTGCAAGTCTTGTATTTGTGCTTCAAACTTTCTTCGCTTTGATCGTTCCTCATGATATAGCTGTAAGAATTCATTATCTCTTCCTGCATATAAGACAAAGAGAACATTATTGAAAGAAAACATCAAGCAACACGACATTTTAACACCATGTTGTATGCATCAAAGAGGAAAATCAGGAACAAATTTCTTAACTTAATTTTTAATCAAAAGTTGCTACAAGAAAAATGACTTTGTAAAGTGACAGTCTGAGCTGCGGTTGCTCTCTATATACATGTATACCAAATAAATAAATAATAAAATATAATAATAATTATAAAAAACAGTACACTAACGGCTCGTACACACATGTGGGAAAATGTGGCATTTGTTTTTATGTTACGTGTACATGAATGGCAATTGGGGATTATGAATAAAAGTATCTGTGTGCAAAAACTGTTTGTTCTTTGGGGTAGAAGTCCAGGGGAGAGGCAGGGGAGGGGGAGGTGGCAGGGGGGGGGGGTGGCAGGGGAGAGGCAGAAGAGGAGGGGGAGGGGCAGTTGTTTAACTACATTAATCAAGCTTACCTGGAGACTTTGGGTCTCCATTCCCTGTGGCAGCCTCATCTTTCAAGACTTGGATCTGATGAGAGGCCAGGGTGAAAAGCTCTTGGGGAGGAGGAGGAGGGGATGGAGAGGGGGAGAGGGGAGGGAGAGGTTGTTTAAATACAATTATCAAGCTTACCTAGAGACTTTGGGTCTCCATTCCCTGTGGCAGCCTCATCTTTCAAGACTTGGATCTGATGAGAGGCTAAGGTGAGAAGCTCTTGAGCCGTTTGCAAGATGAAAAGAGGATCTGAGGAATAAAATAAAATATATTTGGTCTTTTGAAGGTACAAAGTAAGTACATGTAGCACGCTAACAGAAAATATTATCTGGAACCTGTAATTTCTTGTTTATAATTATAATGCATTACTGAAAACATTAAAAGTCCCATGATTTTATGCATGGCTTACAATCCATACAGAAACATAAAGTATTCAGTTTCTGAAATCTGATTTTGTAAAATGTTGATGTGAAATCATATTGATCTGTTTTGTTCGTTCAAAAGTATATATTTTTTTTTTAATACTGCATAGTGCTGGGGCCTGTAAAAATCATAATAAGAGCTATGTTTTGGTTTTACAGTTTTAAATTTGTAATATTTGTTCAATTTCTATTCTAATAGACTGCAACCTCTAAAAGTTTTTACACATTTTCATCAAATTACTCAACATCTAGCAAACAAATTAAAAGCAAACTTCTCAAAGTGAATAGCAACGATATAAAAAGTTTGGAGGAACATGTATAATGATCTACTACTGCACACAAAAAAAGTGTCCACAATTTACGTTTCAATACCTCACCTTCTTTTTCCTTCTTGTTGTTCTGCTGGTTTTGTTCTCCGTTGATTACAGGGAACCTAAATCTTGACCCTGTTTCATCTCGAGGTAGTACTGACGTAGCAACCTTCATAGCATCAATAGAGTTTGAATTACTTTGTGATGTGACATGAGTATCTGGGTTTGATGCGCTTGAAGGCAGGTCACCACCAGAAAACATTCTGGTATCTTGAGGAAAGCGAGCTGTTTGGCTCCCCTCTGTATCGCCATTCTCAGAGGCACCGTTTTGAGTTCCAGATAAAGAGAAGTGGACCATTGAAGTATTTTCTCTTTGGGGGTTTTGCAGAAGAGGTGCACTTTGCGAGGTAAAGAGGGGTCTAGAGACATGGGGCTTTCCCTCAGGAGGGGCAGACTTTGTTTGGAGGTCCATGGTGATGGATCGATTCCTTCGATGCCGTGACTTCTCCGTTGAGGCAAGATACTGTGAGGTCTCCCGTAGGAGACGTTCTGATGCATCCACAGTGTTCTGAATGTTCTTGTTGAGGTCGGAAATTGAACCTGCTTCTGCTATAACAGTTCTTTTAGGGCTATTCCCTGAATGATTTACAGGAAGTTGGGACCCCTTGGTGCCTGGCGGGCTTCGCTGAACTCCGCGCATGCTAGTCCTAGGGCTATAATGCATAGCAGGCCTTCGAGGTTGAATCGGCTGGGTTGTGGAAAAAGAATCTGATGCTGAACGATAGCTGCTACCCCCTAGAGATACGTTATTGGTTACACCACTGGGGTCATAGGAAGAGGTGCGAGGACGCTTGTGTGATCCCTCCTCTCCTTTCAGCTTTCCAACAAAGTCATCCCATATTTTCATCTGCTGGACACCAGGGTTATCTACCCCAAGCTCAAGCATTGAAGACTGGCAGTCTGTGCGGCGACCTATATTGTCATGGAGATGCCGGAGGAAGGAGTCATGGGAGAAAAATATTCCACAGTCACGACACATGATGCACTTGGACTGTGGGTGGATGTGGTATTTAGGTAAGAGTATACCAATCTGTGTTCCTATTTGATTGGTGTGCTTGACTGGTAGCTGTACACCACGAGTCTTCATGTTAAGGTGCTCCACCGGGTTTGGCAAACGGTGCACTCTGGTGGATTGCCTTGGTGGAAGATCGTTCAAGCTGTCATCATCTGTGATGTCATTCTGAGATGGATGTCCGAACGAACCAGCTAGGAGAGAGTCCACTGACCCCATTGGGTCCCTGGAATCTTGGTATGCTCTCATAGGGGTTGTTCCAGGATAGGGTTTAGATGGTAGAATGCTCTGACTAGATCGAAGACCACCCAACTTGGAAGAGTAGTTGCTGTCCCCAGCACCAGTCACTAGAGCACTCCTGTAGTTCTGAAGATCATCCATGATCTAGCTGGCTGGATCTTCACAATCGTAAGGGAGTTCAGAACAGTGGATGAACCATATCACTGTTGCAGCATCTTGGGCATGCCATGAAACTCTTTAAGGTTCCTGGCCAGAGAGGGGAGATAATGGACAATTTCTAGTTATACCCACATTGAAACACACACAGACAAAAAAGGTAAAGAAAAGAAAGTAAATAGGCATAATCACTAGATTAAAACTGATACATGCTTTCGTCAATAAATGAAAAGCTTTTACGAAGGGATGCTTTACAGCAAGGATTAAGAAAGACCTATACAAAATGAGTTTACATCTCTGCGCATACGCTATATGTTCGACTGGTCTCAGCCTCAGTTTCAAACACTTGTGCTTTTTGGTCCTACAAGGGCCCTTCTGATTGGCTATCGCTGGCTGCCAGTGCCATTCGCTTAACGCTATAAGATATTAGTGCGAGGAGAAAGCTTGCATTTTTTGTTTGATCTGATACCAAAATCATGATATTCTAGAGTAAAGGAGGGGGTAATCAACCATCTCCAGTTTTCGGCCGATCCGTTGGATGCATGGTAAAGTCCCTTTAAAAAACATCGCATAATAGCATATCACATATCCCACACATACCATAACATGCCAGAGTCACTGAAGAACCACATTTGCAATGGAAAATATATCCTAAAATATCACATTTTAGCGATGTAATCGGCGGTCCCGCTAACCGAATCTGAAAAATCGAGTATCTTACGCATGTCTGTAAGAAATATGAGTACCACAAAATGAACTTTATTTCAAGTATTTTTCAGATCTAGAGCCCGATTTTGTGTTAGTCGCAAGCTCAAAAGTATCTCATCGCATGTATTAAATCAATGCAGCCGAACACCACGACGCACACACGATATCTCTGTCTAATTCAGATTCCAATTTCCGATCACCGCAGTATTAGTTTTCGGCCTGGCGAGCTCCGGGGAGCTCTGGCATGGGATACCTGCTCCGCCCGCTAGTGCTATAGATCAGCGCGGAAACGCACGGCGCGCGCTTCCTATTGACTTTGTACATGCGGCTGAAAACTGGTTCGCTATGCCGATAACTGCTTCCGAAACAGTGAAAATTGAAATGAATATCGTCATGGCAATTCGTGATTTTTTTCTGGGATTCTTTTTTTGTTTAAATAATAATAATATTTGCTTCATGATTTGAACAAGAAATGATAATAATAAATAGGAAGTAAAGGTAGGGTGTCTGATCGCGCACCCGATGTTGTGTGCTAAAACCCTTCCCATAGAGATTGTACGCATCCCTATGTGGTCTATGTGCATCGCGCGACCATGCAAAATTGGTCAATGATTTTATGAAAAAATTTGAAATTCAAACCTTTATAACAAATGATCCTGAAGGTGAAACTCAATAAATGAGGTGTCATATGAAAGAGCAGGTTTTTCTCCATATTCCCTATAGGGGGCCACCCCTAGAATTCTAAAAATATCTTGGTCAAAACAGCGATTGAAATGTTGTTTGCATCCTAGCTCCAAAATCTGCCACTTTCCTGAGCTGCGCCCCCGCGGCTTAAGTAGGGCTAGACGTAAGGATAATATCCAGGTGCTTTTTTTTTCGCTAGCCCCAAGGGATCATTTGGCCTAACAGTTTGAAAATACCCTTCCCACATTTTTGGATTCAGCTAATTAGGGAGACGTGAGCTCCGCTCAGTCCAAACCATGGTTACATCGCGTAACATCTGCGCGTATAGTGAATGAAAGTATGGATAGCCGTTCGCACCATAAACCCCCGGAAGTGGATACACGTTATAGTCAATGGTAATATCGCGAAGACAACGTGCACGTTGTCTCCGCGATATTGCCATTGACTATAACGTGTAGTCACTTCCTGTTTTTTTTTCGCGAACGGCTAGCCATACTAGCAGGGCTCGAATTACCCACCGGCAATCGGCAATTTGCCGCCATGCCCCTCTCACTGGCCGGAATGCCCTTTTCAAAATCAAACCGTTTACGGCCACAATATTTTAATCCACAAAAGTTTTGCCGACATTATAGTCATCGTAAGCCAACCCGACTTGTAATGTTCAAAAAGGTTCTGTTGCCCATACGGAGCTCTAAAAACATTGATAGTCGGCAAGGTTTTGTTGCCCCTCCGGAGCTCTAAAAACATTGATAGTCGGCAAGGTTTTGTTGCCCCTCCGGAGCTCTAAAAACAATGATAGTCGGCAAGGTTTTGTTGCCCCTCCGGAGCTCTAAAAACAATAATTACCGGAAGGTTTTGTTGCCCCTCCGGAGCTCTAAAAACAATGATAGTCGGCAAGGTTTTGTTGCCCCTCCGGAGCTCTAAAAACAATAATAGTCGGCAAGGTTTTGTTGCCCCTCCGGAGCTCTAAAAACAATATTTATCGGCAAGGTTTTGTTGCCCCTCCGGAGCTCTAAAAACAATAATTACCGGAAGGTTTTGTTGCCCCTCCGGAGCTGTAAAAACAATTATAGTCGGCAAGGTTTTGTTGCCCCTCCGGAGCTCTAAAAACAATAATTATCGGAAGGTTTTGTTGCCCCTCCGGAGCCCTAAAACAATAATTACCGGAAGGTTTTGTGCCCTCCGGAGCTCTAAAAACAATGATAGTCGGCAAGGTTTTGTTGCCCCTCCGAGACTCTAAAAACAATAATTATCGGAAGGTTTTGTTGCTCCTCCGGAGCTCTAAAAACAATATTTATCGGGAAGGTTTTGTTGCCCCTCCGAGGCTCTAAAAACAATAATTATCGGAAGGTTTTGTTGCCCCTCCGGAGCTCTAAAAACAATAATAATCGGCAAGGTTTAGTTGCCCCTCTGGAGCTCTAAAAACAATAATAATCGGCAAGGTTTTGTTGCCCCTCTGGAGCTCTAAAAACAATAATAATCGGCAAGGTTTTGTTGCCCCTCCGGAGCTCTAAAAACAATAATAATCGGCAAGGTTTTGTTGCCCCTCTGGAGCTCTAAAAACAATAATTACCTGAAGGTTTTGTTGCCCCTACGGAGCTCTAAAAACAATAATAATCGGCAAGGTTTTGTTGCCCCTCCCGAGCTTTAAAAACAATAATAGTCAGCAAGGTTTTGTTGCCCCTCCGGAGCTCTAAAAACAATAATAGTCGGCAAGGTTTTGTTGCCCCTCCGGAGCTCTAAAAACAATATTTATCGGCAAGGTTTTGTTGCCCCTCCGGAGCTCTAAAAACAATAATTACCGGAAGGTTTTGTTGCCCCTCCGGAGCTGTAAAAACAATGATAGTCGGCAAGGTTTTGTTGCACCTCTGGAGCTCTAAAAACAATAACAATCGGCAAGGTTTTGTTGCCCCTCCGGAGCTCTAAAAACAATAATTATCGGCAAGGTTTAGTTGCCCCTCTGGAGCTCTAAAAACAATAATAATCGGCAAGGTTTTGTTGCCCCTCTGGAGCTCTAAAAACAATAATAATCGGCAAGGTTTTGTTGCCCCTCCGGAGCTCTAAAAACAATAATAATCGGCAAGGTTTAGTTGCCCCTCTGGAGCTCTAAAAACAATAATAATCGGCAAGGTTTTGTTGCCCCTCTGGAGCTCTAAAAACAATAATAATCGGCAAGGTTTTGTTGCCCCTCCGAGACTCTAAAAACAATAATTATCGGAAGGTTTTGTTGCTCCTCCGGAGCTCTAAAAACAATATTTATCGGGAAGGTTTTGTTGCCCCTCCGAGGCTCTAAAAACAATAATTATCGGAAGGTTTTGTTGCCCCTCCGGAGCTCTAAAAACAATAATAATCGGCAAGGTTTAGTTGCCCCTCTGGAGCTCTAAAAACAATAATAATCGGCAAGGTTTTGTTGCCCCTCTGGAGCTCTAAAAACAATAATAATCGGCAAGGTTTTGTTGCCCCTCCGGAGCTCTAAAAACAATAATAATCGGCAAGGTTTTGTTGCCCCTCTGGAGCTCTAAAAACAATAATTACCTGAAGGTTTTGTTGCCCCTACGGAGCTCTAAAAACAATAATAATCGGCAAGGTTTTGTTGCCCCTCCCGAGCTTTAAAAACAATAATAGTCAGCAAGGTTTTGTTGCCCCTCCGGAGCTCTAAAAACAATAATAGTCGGCAAGGTTTTGTTGCCCCTCCGGAGCTCTAAAAACAATATTTATCGGCAAGGTTTTGTTGCCCCTCCGGAGCTCTAAAAACAATAATTACCGGAAGGTTTTGTTGCCCCTCCGGAGCTGTAAAAACAATGATAGTCGGCAAGGTTTTGTTGCACCTCTGGAGCTCTAAAAACAATAACAATCGGCAAGGTTTTGTTGCCCCTCCGGAGCTCTAAAAACAATAATTATCGGCAAGGTTTAGTTGCCCCTCTGGAGCTCTAAAAACAATAATAATCGGCAAGGTTTTGTTGCCCCTCTGGAGCTCTAAAAACAATAATAATCGGCAAGGTTTTGTTGCCCCTCCTGAGCTCTAAAAACAATAATAGTCAGCAAGGTTTTGTTGCCCCTCCGGAGCTCTAAAAACAATAATTACCGGAAGGTTTTGTTGCCCCTTCGGAGCTCTAAAAACAATTATAGTCGGCAAGGTTTTGTTGCCCCTACGGAGCTCTAAAAACAATTATAGTCGGCAAAGTTTTGTTGCCCCTCCGGAGCTCTAAAAACAATGATAGTCGGCAAGGTTTTGTTGCCCCTCCGGAGCTCTAAAAACAATAATAGTCGGCAAGGTTTTGTTGCTCCTCCGGAGCTCTAAAAACAATATTTATCGGGAAGGTTTTGTTGCCCCTCCGAGGCTCTAAAAACAATAATTATCGGAAGGTTTTGTTGCCCCTCCGGAGCTCTAAAAACAATAATTATCGGCAAGGTTTAGTTGCCCCTCTGGAGCTCTAAAAACAATAATAATCGGCAAGGTTTTGTTGCCCCTCCGGAGCTCTAAAAACAATAATAATCGGCAAGGTTTTGTTGCCCCTCCGGAGCTCTAAAAATAATAATTACCGGAAGGTTTTGTTGCCCCTACGGAGCTCTAAAAACAATAATAGTCGGCAAGGTTTTGTTGCCCCTCCGGAGCTCTAAAAACAATAATTACTGGAAGGTTTTGTTGTCCCTACGGAGCTCTAAAAACAATAATTATCAGCAAGGCTTTGTTGCCC